CCGGCCAGCCAGCATTAGCCGAACGCAGAACCAGCCTCGCTCCCCATTGGCCGAGGCAGCGAAGGGCGGGGCCCGAGGAGGAAATGCTGCGCGCGCCTCGCTGGCTGCCCTGGAGCACGCGCCCGTTCGCCCTGGCGCCACGTCGTGGGCTGCAGGCAGCCGCTGCAGAGCGGGAGCGCACATGGGGTGCCCCAGCTGCACCCTCCCTCCCGCGTGCACTCTTCCTCCTTCCCCCCCTCCCCGCCACAATGAGGCTGCATTTGCATATCCCCAGGAATTCTCCCTCCCGGTGGCGCCTCGCTGGCTGCCCTGGAGCACGCGCCCGTTCGCCCTGGCGCCACGTCGTGGGCTGCAGGCAGCCGCTGCAGAGCGGGAGCGCACATGGGGTGCCCCAGCTGCACCCTCCCTCCCGCGTGCACTCTTCCTCCTTCCCCCCCTCCCCGCCACAATGAGGCTGCATTTGCATATCCCCAGGAATTCTCCCTCCCGGTGCAGCTACCTGCACATTAAAAAGCTTTGCTGCCAATCTCCCCGCTGCTGCCCCAGACTGTGCGTGTGGGGCTTGGGGGAAGGCCGGCTTTGTGCCTACGGGATCTCAGAGCGGGGTTATGCTTAGATCCCTCAGAGGCATCTCTGCCACCTTGTCTACAAGCTGAAATTAGCTGGCATAGCTATTCCAGAGGAGCGCCTCGTGCAGACTGCAATACCGAACAAAATCACTCTTATCCCACAATTATTACTCGGCGTTGACAGGGGAGTAATTATTCCTAGAATAAAGTAATGTTCGTTCCAGGATTATGTCCACACCGGGGCTATTGCTTGTTTATTTCTGAGGCTCTCAAAAGTTTGCATGGCCCATTCAGCTACCACAAATCCTGCTACTTCCAGGAGGAAAAAGCCAACACTGAAGTTTATTACACAAAAAAGCAGTTAGAAGTCCTAATATTGTTGGATAGTGATAGAAATATTGTTGGGGTATCCAAGAGATGCAGCTATATCTGCTTCCTATGAAAAAAATGTGTCCCAATTTTTTAGATTTGCCTGTTGGTCATCCTACAGTTAGGCCAGGCAGTGAACTCAAACAATACAAGGAATTTTAGGAAGGCATGATGTAATTATGCAAGCGTAAGGCCCAAACAATCTTGTCCCTAATCTCGTTTAAACTGCCCTGGGAGTTATTTACTCTAAAATACTGGAGAGTCTCATGAAACCATGTGACTTCAGTAACCTGGGCTTTTAGAAAAAAACATCATGGCTTGTCTGCACTTGCGGCTTCTTGCGTGAGAAATATGCAAATCCATGGCTATGTCTGCTCTTGCAGCTTCTTGCGTGAGAAATATGCAAATGAGGCTAAGTGTGGAATAATCGCCGAGCCCCATTTGTATATATAATGAGCCACCATTTTTGCAGAAGAGGCTCTTGCGCCAGAAGAAGCTGTCTACACTTTCCCTTCTTGCTTAAGAAAAACCCTCTTGCGCAATGCCGCTATGCTGATTATTTTCAGGAATAAGGGCATTATGCAAGAGGGTTTTTCTTGCACAAGAAGGGGCAGAGTGCAAGAGCCTCTTCCGCAAAAATTGTGGCTCATTAGATATGCAAATGAGGCACAGCAATATTCCACACAGCCTCATTTGCATATTTCTCACGCAAGAAGCCGTGAGTGTAGACATAGTCCATGTATTGTGAAACTGTAACCCAAGCACCTGCTGGGTGTGGTGCATTGTTCCAGCTGGGGGCACTGAGACCACTGACAGAACAATGAATCTGCTCTACAGCCTTAGCTAGCAGCCAGCTGGCTATTAGCTCATGAGGTCCCTGATTCAGTCTGTCAGTGTTACAGAATCTCTGCTAAAAATGCTTTGTAGCAAATCAGTAGAGAATCCTGCTATGTCTATCCAGCAAGTGCACCTAGGCTGTGTCTACACTGGCATGAATTTCCGGAAATGCTTAAAAAGGAATAGTTTTCGTTATAAGTATTTCCGGAAAAAGAGCATCTACATTGGCAGGCTGCTTTTCTGGAAAAGCCCTTTTTCCGGAAAAGCATCTGTGGCCAATGTAGACGCGCTTTTCCAGAAAAGAGCCCCGATCGTCATTTTCGCGATCGGGGCTTTTTTCCGGAAGACTAGTGGGCTGTCTACACTGGCCCTTTTCCGGAACAGTGTTCTGGGATAAGGACTTCTGCCCGAGCGGGAGCAGCGTAGCTTTTCCGGAATAGCAGCTGATTTTGTACAGTAGAGAGTCGTTGCTTTTCCGGAAATTCAAGGGCCAGTGTAGACAGCTCGCAGCTTATTCCGGAAAAGCGGCTGATTTTCCGGAATAAGTGGCCCAGTGTAGACACAGCCT